ATTTAGTATTGGATCAACTAATTATTCCCAAATTGATAGTCTTCTTTACTCTCATCACTTATCTGCTTGATATTGAATTGATATCGTAAGGAGAAATTCTGTCTTGGTCACTCATGAGAGTTAAAGAGATAAGTAAATTTTCATTACATCTGAAATGTGGTAAGATTTTCAAGAGGTATGGTGTTCATACTCAGGCCTTAGCTTATATCTCCATGAGTGGTAAACCCACACACTTTGATGTAATGTTGACTGTCACTCTCGATTTCCCCTCTGCAAGTTACGGTTTTGCATTACTAACTCTTTACAACCTACTAATGCCCTACAGCGATACTACTGAATCATTTATAAGATCACAAAATCAAAGGAAATTATTGCCATCCTGAGAGGCTTTGATTGTTAAACAAATTCTCCATGTCAGTTTTAAAGGGAATACATAAAGAGGAGTATGGAGAATATGGATACTGATTTTAGGGTATAAAGGATTAACTCCACCACTTACCCTTTCATTTAGCCTTGTGAAATCAGTGTAACGGCGAAAAACAAACCAACTTTTATTTTGACTTTTAACTTCAATCTTGTAAACCTTGCGAAAAAAAAGAAAAATCCAAAAAAGTGTCTTCATCTTGAAACAAATCATGATAAAACAGTAGGAAGACTGACTGGAAATAATGACAAATTGTGCTAGTATTGAGCATTGTGTAAAATTATTGAGCATGTTTAGATTTACGCATACATTAAATTAATGAAAGAATTGGAGACTATTCTCAGTGATTATCCCTAGCATAACTGCGACCTCTGATTTTCTCAAGTGGTTCTATAGGGTAATTGATAATTGATTCAACAGGAGCACAGCTTGGATTTCTCCAAGAGGGTATGTCACCATAACTCACTCATCAGATTTTCATGTTGATATCCACTTACATTGGGTTCATTTTTAGTGCTTTAAATTCCTCAAATCAGTTTCAAACTTAAAAAAAAAAACTTTTTCATTGGAAGTTATTTTCTTTTCTATACAGAGGGATACTGACACCTGTTGACAATAAAAACATAGGTGTGCTTTCACGCAGTTTACTTGAACCGAAGCTTATTTCATTTTCAAATATTTCACGAAGTTGCTTTGTTAAGAAAAACATTAACGTGCGTATATATTTACAATGTACATCAAGTGTACAGTTAAGCTCACATCCATTTTACATCATAATCTTCCGCCATAGTTTTTGATAAGAGAGATTTTAACAATTTGTTCAGGAGAAAACACCGAACACTTTTTTAGGTTCGCGCTTTTTGTTCGGCCATCATTAAATCAAAGCTGATCATGTCGTAGGTCAAAGTCACGAGTACGAGTGAGTTACAGGAAATGAAAAGTATCAGGTTCTGTAGAAAGTAGTGAGTGCCGAAACGATGCTCTCTTTACTCTTATAGATCATATATCAACTTAATCAAGAAAATTAATCCACCAAGAATACAAATGAAAATCAAAGCAATATAAACAGGTCATATGCCCAAACGTACCGTAAATTTCTGACGATTATCTACTATTTCATAACCAATAATCGGTGCTCTCATTCCCATATTTGATTGATTTCTTTCGTTACCACTTTCCTCTTCATCTTCCTCGTCCATTCTAAACCTCGGGCTTCTTCTTGGAATTCTTGGTCTCCGAGGATCCCATGACGATTCTGTTGACAAAAAAGTCACTTGACCATCCAACGCCATAATTTTTTTCTTCCGTTTTTTAAGCTAGACCCAGATTACTCTCGAACCTAGAGAGATATTTTGTATTCGCCCATGCGTGACACTGCACTAATATTTACTTTTCCGTTTCGGAAAAAGCCCTGAGCGCTAACAAATAAGTAAGGGGACTGAAAAAGGGAAGATAATTGACGAATATTATTAAAGGTTTCATCTATTTCAAAGTTTCAGTTATATTCCTTTACTTAGTTATTTCTTTATTTGTAAAACTTCATATGTGTAAGTACTGCGCGAGTTAAGCGCTTCGCATAGAACTCTGGGAGCGAGGCGCGAAAAAAACTGAGGCTAATTAGTGTTTGCCTCACTCCCAGAGTTATTTTGTTTTTCGCGCTTTTCAGGAGGTAGCGTGTAAAACGCCAAAGGCGTGTCACTTTGCGCGAGTGTGAAGGCGCAAAATAAAAAAAGAAAACTTGAGCATGCTGGCCCCTTACATTTTGAACGCTTCACAAGCGAGAGGAAGACGCTACGGACGCCTGAAAAAAGCAAAAATCAGGCAAAAAAATTAATGACGCCTCTACTGGTGAATCACGGAGGAAAGTTACCCTCGGAAAGATATGTAATTCGCTGAGAAAGTCCATCAGAACAGTTATTTCTCAGAACTGTAACAGTGGTAATTTTCCTGTTTCATATTTTGCTAACTTAATTTTTTTTTAACTCTTGAAGACTGAAGGTCGCTTATTGAAAATAAAAAAAATATATTTTATTGAAAATAAAAAAAAATTGCATATCCATTATTTTAAGTCTTTGACAGGTTTCCATTAAACAAGAGGGTAGCTGGCGCTCGAGGCGATTCCACACTGGTTTTTGTTGTTCCTCGACATCAGAATGTACCCTTCCATGCCCCAGCTCTTTCCCCAGGAGTTCTTCACCAGCCAGTAGTCCTGTCCTTGGTAAGTTCCATAACCAACAACGAGTACTGCGTGGTCCAGCTGATAACTGCTACAGGCACTGAAATAACATAAATTTTGGTATGGTTTCTTTTTACTTTGGGAATTTTTCGATTTCGCACCCATGAAAGAAAAGATCTGACTTACGACAGGAGGCAACCGCGGCTTTATACCAAAAGTATTTTTTTTTAATCCAAAAATATACATTGAAACTCTCTTTTTTAAATAAATCCTCAAAAAAAATTATCTCAAGACAAACCCCGATTAAGTAATTGTCTACAAAATAACATTTTTTCTGAAACACCCAAAAGTTAGTTGGGATCCAAGATTCTTCGTAAATGATCCAGGAAAATTTTTGAAATTGCGAAAAATATTTTGCCAATTGCCGCTTGCGCCAGCAGCCAGTTGGAGTGGACTAGTTTATCCCTACTGACAGTCAGAATAAAAGACAGACAGACAGATAGAGAGACAGACGGACAGGCAGACAGACAGAAAGATAGACAAACAGACAGACGGACAGACAGACAAACAGACGGAAAGACAGGCAAGCAGACAAACAGACGGATTAAATGACTGACTGACAGGCTGGAAAATAGGCAGATTGATCAACGGCAAAAAACACAACAAAGGGGAAGAACGCCAGTCAGGTAAAAAACCCTGACTGACTTACTGACATTGAAATAAAGAATGACTTACAAACAAACTGAACTCCGAGGAACAGACAGTCAGACAATTAGATTGACTGACAGACTCATATCCTGACATGAACAGCTCATCAACTGACAAACGGACAGTACATAGATGGGGGCGAGATATTAAAAACTTTATAACATCTTGATAAGGGGCAGTTCCTGCCATAAGCTAAAATGAGAGCTGTGTTACTTTATTATGAATCACTTACGGTTCATTGTACACCCCACTGTGATAAAACTGGAATGAAGCGTGACTGGCATCGATGATCACTGAGATGGGACCCACTTCGGCCACAGCAGACTGAAGAGCTAACTCGCTTCTTTGCTGGATATCAACATAACCTGATCGAAACAGGGAAGAAAAGAGAAAGAAAAATAAACACATTTGTCATTATAAAAACCACTCTTCTTTGGCCTGTCTTTCGTAAATTCATCGATAACCATCAGAAATCTTCGGTAACCACGATCTGTGCATTTTACTTACCAGTACAGGTGGTACCTATGTAAGCTTTTTCAAAGCAACAACTCTTTGGACATGGATGCGGGTAACCGGCTTCGGTGTCTATGCCACCGTTTTCTTTGACATATCTGAAAGAGTAATTAAAACTCGGCTTCCTCCATGAAACTGAAAAACCACTCTGTTAACCACGAGCGTTAGAACCGACAGACGCAAAAGTGCCTGTCGAATTGCAGCTGAATACATATGCTATATTCGCAATGCGCCGTTATTTTGATATCAAATGTTTCGAGCGCACTTACACTGAATGTCGTGAAACAAAACTAGAGTAATAGCGACAGCCAATCAGAGAAGAATACATCAAAGAACCAATCGGAAAGGCGGTCTGAAAATCTCTGACGACCGAGTTACTGTTGTTTTTTAGAATTTTGCATCCAATTAGTTGCAAGGGAAATGTTTCTGGACTAGTCAGTTAGCGCGGCAAAACTAACGCAATCCCTTGCTAGTTCGATATTCAATTGTTTCACCTCGAAATATGTCAATTTTTCTCGTCTTAGCCTTGAAAATAACCTCGACTGCCTGGCTCAAATATCTTTTGCACCGTCATGGCTGCGTGTAATAGAATAGGATAATTGAACTTCACTGTTCAATTTGACCTCCGACCGAACACTGGATTTATGTTACCAGAGACAGCGCGAGAAACAAAGAGAAAGAAATAACCTTGTTGGCTTACAAGAATGCACAGTCTATAAATCCCATCAAGGGAGGAGACACCTTGCCACATCCAGAGCAGTCTTGTAGATTCTGTTCGCTAAGAGAGACAAGTTTTCCTGTTTTCTTAAAATGTTGTCCTTCCAGTGACCCTGTGGCACTGAACGCCCATGAAGCACCCAACTGACCTAGCAGGAAAAAAAAATTGCAAACGAAAGTCAAATTGTGGCAACGCAGCCAAGCTACATCAGGTGGAGCAACACGTGTGAAAAAGCGGGTTGAATTGGTAACAAATGACAATTCAGAGAAAAAAGCAAAGTAAAAAGCAGACTGCCTCAAGAGCAGTAACACGTCTGTGACCAAGCCGCGTTTGGTTTTTGTTTCGCATTTGATTTGTTGTGAGACCGATGCAATTTTTTTCTTCAATAATACTAGAACGAAGAGTGCCACCCCAAATTACATCTGACCTTCAATTTGTATACAAAATTTTTTTGTGCAACGTTTTTGTTGTTGTTCTTATTGCTGTTGTGCTTGCTTTCTTTTTCGACTGGCAGCCGATACCGAGAAAAACAACGCGATCGTGAAATCAAGGGAAACCAACAAACTTGAAGTTTCAAAACTTACCCTGATTCTTGACAGGAGTGACATATCCCTTCGTCCTCCAATCTACCGTGGGGGGTAGGGTCAGTTCACTAAAAGGAAGAGAGGTAAAACCGCGACGTTCTGTTTCGTTTGGAAAATGAGAACCAACTCCTAGGATAAATGATCGATATTCGTCGACTGTCAGATCACCGAACTGGTTCATGGCCAAGGTGTAGGAGTGTTCTTCTGAGTTATGCTTTAAAACATACTGAAAGAAAAATTAACCTTTTTTTTCTTTTACAGTTTAGTTTTTAAAACAAGTTACTAGTCGTTCACTTGGATTATCTGGCGCCTACTCACTAATTTTTGTTTGCAGATAGCAACACAGGAAGTGTTCACCTGATCAATAATTCCTAAGAATTGAGAGAGCAGTGAAAATCTTTAATATGTTTTATTAAACTGAATCGGAAAAATCATCTACTTAATTAAGGTTTGCGTGATACGAACAGTGTTCCATCTCCCCCCTCCCCCCCCGTATCACCGGTGGTTCTTCGACCCTTCAGTTTGTCATGTGATTATCTTCGCGTACATTATTGGAAAAAAAAACACCCCCTTCTCAGGATTTCGTGTTCTATATTTATACTGTTAATTCATCTCACCTTTAAATTGTTCTGCCATATTGAGAAGCGGGCATTGTCATGAATTTCTGACTCGTATTCCTTGCCATAAAAAGACTTCCACTTCTGCCAGTGCTGCTTGTACGTCGCAGGCGATAGATTCAAACAGTTTGCAAAGGAAGCGCACAGCAGAAAAACGCACAAGTAGTTCATTTTACCTCACAATATCTGGTCCGATTTTTAGATGGTATGAAGCAAGAGTCTGTAAATAAAACTTTGGGACTGAATCAGACAGCGACTACTGGGTCTGCAGATCCTTAGAGATTTGTTCGCCGACCTTTCGTAATTGTGTCACGCATGGAATTTGACACCTGAGAAAAACCAATGCTACCCTGTCACGCGAGATTTTTGTCAGCAAAACTCCCAAATGTAAACACTAAACGTTCTTCTTGGGCAATCCAGCCAGGATTTCAGACCACTTCAGGTGATAGCTTTGCAGCCTCGGTAAAAGGCTATCTGGGTCATCATTGAGGAAATTCGAAATTCGAAAAAGGTTTAGGAGCTCAGAACCGAAAAAAAACAGGCAAACCAACTGAACTTGCACCCAGTCCGGCATGCTATGCATGTCACGTCCACATGGACGCCTGAGGCATTGGCAGTAATTCGCCGGACATTTCCTGGATGCTCCTGTAGGGTTTATTTGATTGTCCCTGTAGTAAAAGGTTTCGGCTAAATGATGGAATAGTTCTCTTTTCTAACAACAGTCTTTATCACCGATCCTGACGTGGTTTGGTCTTATGCAGCTATGGGAAAGTTATCGTCTCAGTTATCTGGTAGTCTCTGGACCCTTTGACCCCTTAAGAATGATACGCATCTAATTCCTCCCAGCAATATCACTCTGAATCAAAAATCGATGTAGAGATTGTTTGACGAGCTCTCTTTTTGAGTGCCATAGGAATTAAACAGAGAAAGTATGGAGAACTTGGATACTGATGTTATAGTGGAAAGGTTTAACAGCATGACTATTTTAAGATTGTCTTGTCTTTTGATTGACTCAGGCGACAAGCAATTTTTTCTCTTTTCTCAACATAGGAGGGTTCCTCACCGACGTCTCATTCGAATTTTTTAAACACTACGACAACGTTTTAAAGGTG